TTCCCTTCCCTTCCCTTCCCTTCCCTTCAGTCCTTTCGTTTTCTATCTTACCTTTCCCCCCCGATTTTTCAGAATGACGGATCAAGGTGCCAAAGTACCAGAAGAAGTTCCAAATAGGTTCCGTTCATTTCAAGTCAGTTCTCAACCTTCACATGATAATCCATCAGACAGACCATTCGTAAACGACAAACACAAGCCGTGCCCGACCAAAGAAAACAATGAATGCGCGACAAAAAAATCTAAAAAGGACGCAAAAGCGAAAAAGAAGGGAGCACTAAGTCTTCTAACGCAGTATGATAGCGACAGTGGAGGTTCTGCAGCTAGTGTGGATAGTGATTCCACCTCTACCCTTAGTGTTAGTCCGATAAGCTGTAACTCTTCTGGCCCTGTCAGCGATAGGTTACAGAGTCCAACCAGCTCTTTAGATGTTGCCCCTAGCCCACCTGTTCATTTTCAGAACAGTCCGTTCATAAATGGAGAAAACAATAACGTTACAAAGGCCAAGAAAAGACAAAAAGATACTAAAAGCCCAGTGGAAAAGAAAAAGCCCAAAAACCGCAAATCTAAAAATACACAACAAGGATTTGTTGACCTTGGGGAAACGGCCGCTGGTATGCAGCAGCATTTCAAAAAACAGTCCGCGGTTATGGTAACCACGGCAACGCCTGTTAATACGTCACTTGCTCCGTCATCACTTTATCAGTCGTCAGAAGTGCCAGCCTTTTCTTATCCACAAAGTCATTTAGGCTTCCCATCAGGAAATATTAGTTACCCTCCACCGAACTATTCCCAGTACTTTCCAGGTAATCCAGGCCCCACAGGCGGGTATTACCAGTGGGCTGGTAGCTATCCCGCTATGCCTTTACAAAACAATTTTCCTTGCTTGAACTTTCCAAACAATGGAAGTAACGGTCAGAGGAATGTATATAGATAGTCAGGATGTGTTGATAAGGATAGTATCAGAGCCACTCCCCTGTTGAGGGAAAAACTGGGTCGAGTTGGTACTGCAGTGCATTTTGGGGCTGTTTTAGGAGACGAACTAGACGCCATCTTGGAAATATGTCCCCTAAAACAGCCCCAAAATGCATTGCGTTGCCAACTCCACCAAGTTTTTTCGCAACCTCGGAATAGCTAATAGTGACCGCAGGCCAATAGGAACAGACAATGTAAAGCACTGTAGAGAGTTCGAGCAGATTTCGTATGAATATGGTATGGACGTGCTGTGCCTTGACTGATGTAGTCACGTGCATGCTTGGTGGATGCATGACCAGCAACCTGTGTGTTTTTATCTTCTCATTTCCGTACCCCGATTATTTCATGCCCCTGACGGTACTGTCCCAACAATCCACTTGCTGTGTTTGGCTCAACGAATGCTCTTTCCGTACCGTGATTACATGCCGTTCATGCCAGTGGTTTTTCAGTCATACGAAATCTGCGGAATGCGAAATGACAGCCATAGTATACTGAAGAATGTCTAATAGTGAGCATTATGGTTTATGGTTAGATAGTGACATGAAGAGGTAGAATGGTAGCATGCAGAGAAAAAAGCACATTCACCAACTACGCCTATCGATTGTGTTGCCTCCTTTTAGATAGACATCGATATTTACATGCACCAAATGCATTTACAAAATAGCTCTTAAATCTCGCGTTCTGATTGGTTGAGAGAGCGTGCTTTATGAGAGCAAAAAGCAAGCGCGCCTACTTTCAGTTGGGTCATTCTTATCAAAAATAACGGTTGTAATTGTATTTTATAAAAGAAATAAAAAACTTGCTGTACTGTGTGGAGTTATGAAGTAATTGGGCATTGGCAAAACACTCGAGAATTGTTGAGAAGCACTTCGCTACGCGTCGTGCTTCTCCTAACACTTCTCGTGTTCTGCCAACCCCCGCGTCCTTTATAACTGCACACAGCACGTGCGCGCGTTTTCTATTTTTTCATTAAAATAAATAGAACTTGTCTCACCAAATACTTGATTGCACTAAATGATTTTACGGTGCATATAGTTTTAATGCCACTTTTTATAGCACTATTAAACCTTCAAGTTCCTTTTATTAGTGATTTTGATTGTTATTGCTGCCTAATTAAATAAACTCGCATTACAGAATGATGAATCTTCTCAAGGAACAGGACTAAGCTAGCGTTAGGGGACGAGAAAGCGGGGAGAGCAAGCGGCCCTCGTTTTCCACTCCTCTACCTAACATTTCATTTCCTCCTCCTCTCCCACCCCTTTGTGCCGCTGCTAAGGTTAATCATTACATATGGTTCTTACTTCTATAAAACCTGTTGAATACTACTTACTCATGCAGCATTATGTAGACGTATTTCACAGCAGCCATATTTAGGGCCAAACTAAGAATATTTATAATGCAATAAACAAAATTACTCGATTCTGATTGGACAAGAGTACAATTAAATTCCAAATTGTACTCTGTAGAGTCCCAATTAAGTTGCTCAATTTTTGTTGAGCGTGTTATAAGCTTTACAAATCGCACAATCTTCTCGTATGCAATTCTGAATTTATAGGTACTCGCAATGTTTTGAAAGTTCTGAAATTGGACTCGCCTCACACGACCTCGTGGGAAAACTACATCGAGTCATGCCAGAAACTTGTAACTTTTTTCTGATAATACAATTAGTTTGTGCGTAACGGGACCCGATGTAACAGAATGCTTCACTTCATGAAATGTTTAAACTCCTTCCAGAAACTGGATTCTGTAAACCTTGATTTACACAGAAAAGGTGGTTTCGTTTTGTTACCATATGTAAACTGAAATAGCCGAGATGCGCACGAGCACGATTCTAGAGCACAAAGCATGATGAGAAATCAATGCCAATGAATATTTGGAAGGGAAAACTTGGGGGGTTCCTGATCCATCGATGTTTAACTAAAGAGTGTCTAAGTGAGCTTGTAATCTAAATTTGAACAGAACCATGAAAAGAAGTTTGGCGCACCTATTTTTACAGATAACACATCATTTGTTTTATTTTCGATAACATGTAAGCAACTAGACCGATATTCTTTCTTCTAAAGTATTTAGGGTCAACAACTCTAACTCAGGTTTTGTTACTCAGAGTTAAGTTAATTTTAAATCCTTTTTTTTCTTGATTTCCTATACCGTGGGCGGATCAAGCGGGAAGTTCGTTCAAACCCCGCCCCAATCTTCGATCACATCCCACACGTACTGCATGACATACTGTAGTAGAAGTTGATACAATTTATTTTCTTTCGTCAATAAAAGTTGCTTTTTTTAGTCATTCCAAATCATGAGTCGTAACACGATATGATAAAAAAAAGTTCAGTTTACTTCTTAAGGATTTTACATATAACGTACACACCTAATTCAAAAAATCGTTGTCATCGCCAAAGGCGATAGGCAATAGGAGATAGGTGAAAAGCGATGGGGGATATATGTCATTCCAAGATCCAAGAATAGCTGGAATGACTTGTGTTTCTTCTTMTTATTCTCGTCAAGAACATGGACTTTAGTGTTGAGACTGATTCGATGTTCTTTGTATTCAACGAAACCATTTCCATGTCGGAATGACCTATCGCCTATCGCCTTTGGCGATGACTACCTTTTTTGAATTAGGTGTATATATATATATATAGCCATGTCTTACTGAATGCTAGGTTCTTAGCGTATTACTTTACTAGTATAGATAGTTAAAGACAATTATTCTGTCATTGCATGTGTACACGAAAAAGAGAGATGTATTTGGTACAATAGTAGTTGTGAGTAAGATTATGAGGAAGTATAGATATTTCATATTGATTATGTATACATGTGAACATGGCCAATGGTCATGCAACTGCAAGTCTTTACTTAAAACTTCCATTATTAAGCACGAAAAGACTTTTAAAAATTTTAATCTTTACGTTTTTTTCTTGGATATTTTGAGGATTTTCTTCGTGACTACTTTGACGAAATGTCAAGAACTATAAAGACTAATCCAGTCGGCAGCCCCATTACTAGCATTGCTGCATATGTAACTACGCAGTTACAATGCGTGCCTGCCTGACAAGTCTGCATGACCGCATATCCGATGCTTGATGTCGTGCGTTCGGTTTTATCAACAACTTTAAACAACCACACAGGAAAATCAAGTTCAAGCTAACCCAAATAAATGGTATTCGGCGCAGTGCGTTAGTACAAGTCGTAGAAGTAATGACGCTGGGAATGTTTCGGAAATCTGAATAGCAAATATAGTAATTTTGTCTTGACTAAGCAAAGCTAATGGCACCTGACACGATCAAATAAGCTTATTTTGGATAGAGACGACTTATAAACAGCTCGAAATGGATACAGCTAAAAACACAGATAGAAGCTTAAAAACATTCGAGAGGGATTAATGGTCGTTAATGTGTTCATTTTAAGTTTAGTGTTGACATGTATGCACTTTATGCTTATGATATAGTTCGAGTAAGGATTTTTCTCTTTCTTTAACAAGTGCAATTTTTTTAATTTTCACGGTCGATTTGTAAATCTTAGTGTGGGGTTATTTAATTAAGTAAAACCAATCTTCCTTTTCTTCCTTTTTCTTCTTTTCTTTGTGTCTTTTTTTCTATCATCATTTTTTGTAATATTCACCCTTCCGCATGTTTTCGAAAATAAACACGCGCCAGGTTTTGCTACGCTTAATCCAATTAGCCCGAGCATGTCATCAGTATTTGAAAATACTTTCACTGTTTGACTCTAGTTTTCAGATACAAACGCTTCCTTTAGCTTCCCTCTTGTCTGTCAATATTTAGGTTAGCTGGTCGGATGTTTAGTATAATGCTAGAGCGGCTAATTCTGGAGGTCAAGACTTATTAAGCATCTTGCAAACCATAACACAAGCCACTACTGGTAAACATTTGGAATAAAGCCTTCCGGACAAGTATTTTGTTATGGCAATATTGTATCTCCAAATCATTCACTCAACTCATACTGTAGGAAATCTCATAAATTGTTTATTTTAAAGCCGTAGGATATTCTATCAATTATTTTTTTTTGTAAAACCGATAACTTTGAGCAGGTTAAACAAACCAAATTCAGTCGTTGACCACGTACGTTCCATTTCCCTGAGACACACCTAAAATGACAATCAAATTCAACGCTATCTTGAAGCTGACTTTGCCCTGATTTTTGAAAAAATTATATCATCCATCTAAACTGTTGAAAATTTCTATAGAATTTCTCTTTCTTTTAAGTGCAATAATGAGTCGCCCACAATCTTTACGTAAACTTTGATTTTAATCAATACTGTGTGTGTCAGCTTCATGATTACTTTGCGAAACATGATCTCTTTACCTATCCAAATATATACATATATATATTGTCATTTTTCGTCTATAAAAACCCTTTTACCGATGTGATTATCGCTTAACTAAACTACACTACAATAAACGCCTTTTAGCCGCTTGTAAATGGTACTTTACTCAAATATTTTCTTTCTGTTAAAACATAGCAGAGATGTTGACACGAAAGAGCTTTTCGGGTCCACATAATTACTGCCTTGAGCGTTGTGGTGGTCAGATGTTTGTTGGCGGCATTTTATGATTAAAGTTAGGATACTTTTACAATAAAGAGGATATGGCAAAAGAGAGACGTTAATCGAGATTACAAAGTAGCTCAGTTTTAAAACGAATTTAGTGATAGAGGAAGATAGAAAGAGATTTAACTGGAAATGGATAAAAACTGATAGGTGGTTAATTTTGAGTTTGCCCTCAAGCAGTTATCCCTCTGGAACACTAGCACTTTTCTCACTCCTGGAAATGATCTGAAATAAAGATTTATAGGACGAAAAAGGAAAAAAATTATTAAAAAAAGAGAAAGAAAAAAGATTTTTAAAAAAACTCATTTTTTTAACTAGCTAGTTTTCTCGGCTAATACGTCACTAAAAACGTTTTCATTGAATAAAATTAATAAAATAAAGTAAATATTAAAGATAATACAAAATGGAATGAAGTAAAGCAAAATTGTCCGGTGTCAAAATATCGGACGAAGATCTTAAAAAATTATAATTTTTCTGGCAAGTTTTCCATGAAGCTTTATGGACAAAACTTAACGTAAATGCTATCGCATATCGTACTTCATTTCATATGATTTAGCCTGAACGGTTTAGAAAAGAAATCAGTCCTGGTGCAAAAACATAATGATGGACTATATTTCAATACAGTGCTCTATATCTTTCTAGTTTTTATTTCTTTTAGTTTTTTCCACCTCTCCTATTCCCATTTATTTATTTATCCATAAAACGTAATAGTAGAGAAAAAAGTGGTTAGAACGTATGTCGTGGGACTTGGCGTACTGTTTGTGATGACGCTTAGGTCTGCACTGAGCAGTTTTTGCTGATCTTTATTTCATTTCCACAGTAGGGTTATGCAGCCAAGGCACTGAGAATGGATACTACGATCATCTTTATTCACCCTCTGTATTTTTTCCTTTTGTTGGTTTTTCTTTTCCTTTTTTTTTTTTTTTTTTTTTTTTTTTTTTTTTTTTTTTTTTTTTTTTTTTCCTTCTTCTTCTTCATCTTCTTCGTCGGTTATCTTAGGATCTTGACCCAGCTATAACTACATAAAACTCAAAATAAATGAAAAATCGTGCTACTCAATAGAATCAAGGAGTCTTCTTAATTCGATATTCAGTGCATCATTGAGCCATTAGCGATTTATTACCATCAACCATCACACGCCTGCCGATCAGTTTTGATTGAATCGATTTTTCAAGGGCTCAAAGCTGTCGAATTTGACCTCACAGAGACTGTAGTAAATCATAAAATGGTGACACCAGAGACTCATAGACTAACCATTTCTTTGATTAATTATTTTGGTACGTATCTGTGTATGGTCATATATATCTATCTTGACTTTGGAGTGGAAAAAATTGATAATATATACGTAAATTAATGCTTTCTTGTTGAACATCGAGACAAAACCATGGGATGGGTTAATGAGGCACTTGAGCTTCGGTTCTCCTGTTTTCCTCCCTCCGTAAAAATCAACATGTGAGTCGATCGTTGTGTGCATAGAACAGCAAATGTAGTGGTAGTGAGGTGAGTGATAGTAGGC